CAGTCAATTCTTACAAAAATAATGTCTAAACCAAAAATACACTTGATGTTTGCTTGTAGAAAATGCTTAGCAGAACTTAACTATTTATAGACTATTAAATTCTTATAACTTATATGCAGCAAAAAGACAATTCTGTAACACATAAAAAATAAAATATTACAGTAAAAATTATTTACCTGAAATCTTAATCAGAAAACTATTTTAACTTATTTTATATAGATTTGGGGTGTAGGGGGAGAGGGAAAACAACATGGAATGAAAACCAGAAATCCAAACCTGACCCTCGAAGTCAGGTAACAATTTGAAATACAGAGAAATCCATTAATGAATCATAAGACTAAAAGAAGTATTTGGTTGTACTTAACCTGAAAGATCCCAAGTGCTCTAGAAATGCCTGCAGAAATGGAGAACCGAGCTGACAACCAATGAAAAGCAGGAGAACAGATACTGCACGTAACAGCCCAACTCGGAGCAAAAGCAGAAATAGCAATTTTGCAAAGGAGAGAGCAGCAGTGAGCAGTGAGTGAGCAATCCTGCACACTGCATCTGGCCAAGAGAAATGGAGCTCTGCAAGGGTTTTGTGGTAGTTGGGTTGACTGGTCTTTGTTTTCTGCTTTCACATGGACCTGGCTTTTCCCTAGTACCTGCTACTTTGGAGCATCAGTTGAACGTCAGCTCGGAGTAGAGACTGTGCCCGTCTGCAGCGCGGGTGCCGCTTCTTCCACCAGCACCCAGGGCTGTATGCGTTTGGTGAAAGCTGAACAGAGCAAAAGCCAGCTAAAGCTGACAAGATCCCAGGTAAAAGAGACACGGCCACAGACATAAGCAAGGAATCGCCCCACTCCACCTCTCACGTGAGCAACAACCAGCATTTCAGACACTCGTGACACGTGGAACATGGTGACCTTGCACACACTAGACGTGGACGCCCGATGAGACTCACAACAGCTTCTTCCTTGTGGAAGCCCATCTGTTACACGCTGTGCTGGCTTCCTTTAATGATTTATTTAAACAGAAGCAATCAAAAGGTTCATCTTTTCAGTTTAAAATCAAATAACCACTCAGACACGAGATGGACTCTGGAAAGAATACAGAAAGCCTATTTGGCGTAGGAAAAAAACCAACAACAACATTGAAGACACAATACTAACACAACCTGGAAATCAGTAAAAGAAAATATGCAATATTTTTTTCATAGCACAAACAGATGCTGAAATGATATTTTTGAAGTAATTAAGACTGCTAGAGAATTTTAATAGCTTTTAGACCTTTCCGAAAAGCATTACAAAAATAAAAGTTAAAAATGAAATTAGGAGAGCTTTCATATAAAATCTACTAGTAAAAGCAAATATTTAAATTAATAAAGAAAGATTTCTCAATGAGAAATGCTTTACATATACTTCTGTTATCAAACTTTTGCTGATGAATCTGTCAGAATAAAGCTGTGCCTTTACAAGGGAATAAAAATTCTTTACAGTAAATGCTCATTAACAGTTCGGTAAATGATATCCTATACATTTCTGCAAGAAACGGAGCATCTGCTTTTCATAAGGACTTTGGAATACAAAGCCAGTATTATTTTAAGTAGCACCCCTAGTGATTTCTGTTGACCACAAGAATGCTAAGTTTCAGAGTAATTAATTTCATCCTGCATAATGGCCAAATATAGAGCTTTTGAACAATGACTGTAAAGACAGTAGGAGAATTTTTGTTATTTTTTAAAGAGCAATAGAAATGGAACAAACTGTGTCACACTTCAGTTTTAATAAGTCAATTAGCCAAGCATACTTTTCAAAAAAATTAAAATAAAAATAATGGATATGGATGGGTTTCCTTTCACGTACAGGACAAATAGCTATGAGATACCATGTGCAGGAACGCTACTTGCATTTCAAAAAGGAAAATTCCAGTTTCCTAAGCTACCCCTCCACTACATCCATACATCCAATCCATTATTTAATAAATATACCTGTTTGCCTCCCGGAAAGCTCCGCCACTCTACAAGCAGGCTGGTTAAGAGCTTTAGGACCAACACAAGCATTTTCTAACACAATAAAGCTCTCAGTAATGTCATTGAGAGTTCAGCAGTAAATAATGAAAAATCAGTTTCCAAACAATGATTATAAAAAGAATTAATATGCTGCTTTGATGCACATGATGGCCTTTACTTCAGGTTTCCTCTATAAATTCACTCGGTATAGAAATCCTGCTTCCAGTGACTTGGCAAGGTCACCCTAAGAGGTAGATCATGTAGTAGTATCCCCGAGTTTTGTGCCTACATTACTCACCATCAGTAGATGTTTCCCCTAAAGTCTAGGTGATAGTGGCAGGAGTGCAGCTAGAAAATGGATTTGGCAAATGAGGCCAGCAAACCTGCCCTTCAATATTAGCAATGAGGAAACAGAGACAAGAGGGTCGTTCTCACTTCCAGGCCTAGGTTGGAAATGGCAATCAGTGCAAGCCAGGATTTTCAAGTGCTATCCAGCAGCTTGGCAGACAGGCAAGTAATTAAGTTTCACTTGTCTGGAGCAAGGTTTTGGCTGCTCTGGGCTGCAAAGCCATTACCTTCCTCACCATAACAGAGCCCTTTACTTCCTAAGACAGGCCTGGTCAACAGGAAAGTGCACGATCTTCAGTGATTTTCTCAGAATCACTATGTCAAAGGCTACAGAATCTCTGTGGTGAAGAAGAACGTAAAGCTCATCACAAAGTGTCAATTCATTTCAGGTCTGTTTATTTAAAGTGATTAATTCTACTTGCTAGAGTATCGGGCAGGGAACTTGGCTTCACTACCATTTCAAGTAAAATTACCTGACCCCTCTGCCTCTCTGATTTTTGTATGTGTAAAATGGCAATAACAGTAGATCGTGTCTATAAAAGTGCTCTGACACCCCCAAAAGAAAGTTACTATATAAAGGTCAAATTAGTACTATTCATCCTAAAATACTAATCAATAAGTCATTTTTTGATGCTTCTATTATCCAAAGGGAAAAAATATCTTTGAGCATCTCTAAAAATATGAAAGGATTTTTATCAAGTCTCCTTTGTAGAGAACACTGACAGCTCTCAGCACAGTGAGCCAAGCCTGATTTTTGCACTACATCTGCAATATCTTTTATACTTGGGCAGCTGGCACAAAGTGAGAAAATTCATTAACATGCTAATGATGCATCCTATTTAAAATTCCAGCTCTGATTATTGTGTGATTAAGTCTCTTCCCTTGACGTCTGCTTTCTTATATCGACATTACTGTGAGAAATCAACAATTATTAATGAAGGGAAAAAAAATTTATCCACAAGAGACCAACACATACAACACATACACACACACTTTAGTGTTCCATTTTTCTTTGTTCTGAGGGAAAAAAAAAAAAAGATATCTTCAAAGAGGCATTATCTTCAGTCCAACAGCCATTTCAAAGTAAGTTTTCTAAGAAGTTCACAGGCACAAAAGACAACAGTCCAAGGGGATGTAGAGATGGCTATGTGTAGAAATACCCACACAGAAGGTTTTAAGGAGCTATAAGTGAAAAGAGGGAGAGCTCCTGAGATAAGGAAAGAAGAAGATTATTCTCTGGAAATAATACGAAAGCAAGAATGAGAGCAGACAACTGCTCATGGCATCCAGTCGATCCACTTACCCCGCCAGGAGAAAAACGAAGCATGTCCTTTGTACAGTGAAAGCGATTTCAACTCCCTAACTCATTTTAAATGAGCATAAACCTTGCAGGAAGAGAAGATGTAGGGACTGTCTGCTCTGCATCTTCCAATCTCCTCTGTCCAGGCTGTGGCAGACACTGATTTCACGTATTTACCCCATCCAGCCTGCAGTGGCCCCGCGCTCCCTTGTGAAGCGTGGGCGGCAGCAGAGGCAGCGCGGGGCACTGCCACCTTCCTCGGGACAAGTGCCCTGCACAGCAGCAGCAGCAGCAACGTGGCCTTGGTCCACAACAAAACCTGGGGCCTGGCTTCTCCCCTGGTCTTGCAATACGCCGGCTAACTCCAGCTTAAAAGTGTAGCTACGTGCAGGAGGCCTGTGTGCAGCTCAGCCTTAGCGAAGGGCCAAGGCCTGACCGCGCTCAGAGCTGTGCCGTGGGGAAGGCCGAGACCTGAACTCGGGGCAGCAAAGGGAAAAAGGAGGAACAAAGTCCAAAAGTCACCAACAGATGTACTGCAGCTTCCTAGGGAACGGGTTCAACTTTGGGGGACATAGATACATAAGTTACAATCGTGCTGGTGCAGGTAACAGAAAGGGATAAGGTTCAACTTTGGGGGACATAGATACAATTGTGCTGGTGCAGGTAACAGAAAGGGATAAAACCTGCTGGTCTGTGCCGCCGCACCTGGACCGCTCCGGCCAGGGTTGGCTCCGTCGATTTAATTTTTCAATTGCTGAAAGTTGCAAGTTGCAACAATCAACCCACAAAAACAAGCCCCATTCTCAGTCATTCCACCGCAGACAACAGAGTGCAGCATCCAACAAAATTAAAGGTAGCAACAGCCACAGCAACACTACTATCTACGTACACTATCTACGGCTTAGCAGTTAGTGTACGTAACACTACGTACACTATCTACGGCTTAATCTATCCCATGGTAACAGATTTCTATTCCCATTGTTTATGCTTTAGTCTCCAAACGTAAAAGCCCTGTACAAAACAACAATCAGTTCGTAAAAGTGGGTGTCTCCTTTAAGATATGATGTGTTTACTATCTCCCAGAGTGTAGCAGAAGGCTATTTTTGTTGGTGCTGTAATTAAATGGTTGGTATCAATGTCCTGCTAATGTCCTCAAACCTAAAGGAGTTTCCATTCTCTAAGGAAGAAAATGGTGTAGATGACATGCAAAAGGGACAGAGGTGAGGACAAGGGAGCATCTGAGATTTCAATCTATATCTTTCTGATGAGGATGTGCTTAATAGAGTTTTATTTTACGCAAGGATAAAATTTCTCAACTCCTGTAGAATCACAATTAAGAAAAAAATCATCTGCTTGGTAAACATCCTGCGTTTCCCCGTTTATTGTCACAAATTGTACAACAGTAGAGGTCAGAACAAGATGACACTTCATTTCAGCTACATAAAAGCAAAGGAAAAAGAGTCACTGAATTGCTACCAGTTCTGTTGCTTCAGCAACAGTCTTATATAGACTTGATTCCCAGAAACCCCGCAGAATAAAAGTACAAATAAGAAGTGTTTCCTCAAAAAAGTGTGTTACAAGATGTTCCATTTTCCTAGAAACAAAGCAGCAATAAAACAGGCAGCTCAGAAGGTCAGAAACCTTCTCCACCCCTTGCAAATCCAAGCAAGGAGGAAGCATTGCACACTGTGCTTTTGGATAACATTGCTTAGGTATTAACATACCTCTTTTGAGGAATACCATTAAAAATATAGCCATCTAGTTTCTAACAGAGCAAACTCTTACCTAGGACTACACATGTATTATTCTGCATATTGTAAAGGGCATTAATTTTGCTTCTAAGATAATTCTGCCTACCTATTTGACTTAATTTTAAATCTGAGGCACTTCTCTGTCCTCAGCCAACCTCTGGCCCACAGGATCACGAAAAAACAAAGACATTCAAACCCCTAGAGCTTTAATCAATCCCTCAGACTTACACATAGCTGTTTAGAGGTAACCATAGTAACTGTACATTTGTAATCAGTAAATTAAAAGTCGGAGGAACATTTAAATCAAGCAGCAAGGCCACTTTATCCGCACAATAACTTCAGGAGGAGGGACATTAGTCAAGAAGGATTGGCCAAGCCCAGCAGCCTTGCTACTTTATTAGTTTGTCTGTAGTCTTCCTCATAATTGCAGATGACTTCTGCAATTCCACTATGACACTGCAACCCAAGTACTGCTTATGGCCATATGCAAGCTGTATTTGCTAAGCTGTTTAAGCCCTTTCCTCCCAGTCATAAATCTAAACAAAGAAGCCTTGCCTTAGAACCACGCATCCCTTTCACAAAGCCCTCACAAGCAAAGCCTTATCCAATACATTGCTATTGCTGGTACATTCAACATCACCTACTGCTTACAGCTAAGAGATCATTTATATGTATTTCACTGTATGTGAATATATGCAGGGCATCACCATCGCTATTACAACACATTTGAGAACTGGGCTAAGAGAGATCTCAAAAACAGTATTTTATCAGGATGCTCCTTCCATTCCCCACCAGCAACCAGACAGAGCTGAAGATGATGTGCAGCACACTGCTTAACTAGGTGCTCCCCAAACTCTCCCCTAAAAATCTGTGTGTTTTGTGAAATGCAAGGCAGCTCAGCACACCCAGCAGACTTGTAGATGCCCACGACTGAACAAAAGCTGTAATTGCCTGTGAGTTACTTACCAAAGGCGGTCTCTCCCTGCTCAAGCTCCTGTTTCAGTCTGTTGTAATCATCTTTAATTCTCTCTAATTTTTGGACATTTCTGGCACTCAACACCACCAACTCATTGAGAAGTCCTTCTAGACGCTCCTTCTCAGATGTTAATGATCTTATTTCTTCTGTCAGATTCTTAGCAGTCCCAAAATTACTTCCTGTACGTTCATTCGGGAGAGGGGGAAGAGAAAGGAAGAGAATGAAGCAGATATTTGCAACATTAGTAGGTTACACAGAAAACAAGAGAAATTAAGCAACTGCACTCTCCAAAAGCCACTTAAAGACCAGACAAGAAAAGAGGGAGACTTCTTTGACTCTTTTGCAGTAACAGTGAACAGCTTGCAACCATCCATCTTCTTAACCTACTACAAAAAGAATCATAATTGTAGAGATTTAAATTCATACATAAACATCCTTTTTTGTATTGCTACCATTTACATTTTTGGAAAATGTATTTCAAAGGCCTGCCCTGCACAAACCATTGTAGTGTAATTCATGGATCATTGTACTATAATCAGTGAAATCATCTGCAGGTTTTGGAAGACACCTCAGCCTACAATGGTTTTGAAATGGATGCTATCAATCTGCAAGACTCTCAAATATTTCTCCTTGAACTAAGGGGCATCAGGCAGTTCTTCATACGAAGCACCAGAAGGCTGTTCAAAAATGACATCACCTTTATTAAGTGGCATGCAGCAACTAAAAGGAAAACGAGAAGAAAATTCTGAGTAAACATATTTAAAAGATACAACTCTCCACATTTGTCTCTCCCTGAAGCATGAGACAGCAGAAAGTGAGAGGATACCTCAGTATTGACAGCTCACATTGCTCTGGATTTTCAAAAAACATGTTCAGCTCCTTTGAACATGGAACCAAAGTTCAATTGCCAACTAGCTAACACTGCAGCATACAGCATTAGCCACTTAACCCTTCTCAAACACTGTTTTATAAGAACAGGGACAGGCATGTTTCCTTGCTTTATAGAGAAGTCTCAGATATAAATATACTAAGGATGATGAAGCGCTCAGCTACTAAATCATTTTTAAGTAGTAGTAACTATTGTTATGCTACATATATGCAGTTGTACAAGTCTTTTTTTAATGACTATTCAACTATTTGTTTTATAAAGCAAAAATGCATCAACAGAATATTTAGACTGAGAAAACATTTCCATGTAGACTTGTAGACACAAGACAGAAAATCTGCAGCACAACAGAGCTCCAGCATTGTCTTAACTTAAAAAAAAAATGGCAGTTTGATCTAGGAAGCAAAGGCATTCAACATTTACAAAGTTAGCCATGATCCAAATATTTTTGAGACAAACATCCAGTCACATATGCAGGATGCCTCATTCAGACTACAAAGTAAATGCCATGATTTCAGACTCCTGAAACAACTTGGCAACACCAGCATTTTCAGATATTCAACTACCTTTTTTTTTCCCCTGCAGAAGAATACAGTAACACATTGCTTATGAACAACAGATCAATTTGAAAGCTTATTTTAGGAAAATAAGATACATTCCAAAACATCAGAACCACAACAGAGTTGACTAAATTGCAGCATTACTCTCCTTTCTCAAAAGCGTGAGCCACAAAATCTTAGAAATACTGGGCTGCTGCTTAGTTCCTGCAGGACAAGGGAGCAAAACTAGATGCGGGTATTGACACCAGCCAGGACGCTGCAAACTGCCTCCTGCTGCAGACAGGGCCCTGCTGCCCCCGCGTGCAGGAGCGACGGGAACGCTCGGGGCTGGAATCCACAGCACGGAGCCTCCAAGAGAGATCTCGCTGCCCACTGCGCCGGCCACACAGAGGCAGATGTGCCAGGAGGAGACTGCACTTTTCCAAATTCTGAAAAAGACTGCCATAGGAACTTAAGGAAAAATTTCTTAACAGTGAGGGTGACAGAGCACTGGAACGGGCTGCCCAGAGAGGTTGTAGAGTCTCCTTCTCTGGAGATCTTCAAAACCCGCTTGGATGCAGTCCTGTGCCACGTGCTCTAGGTGTCCCTGCGTATGCAGGGGGGTTGGACTAGATGATCTCTAGAGGTCCCTTCCAACCCTAAGCATTCTATGATTCTATGATTCTATGAAGTACAGTGGGCTGGTTTGGGTTTTTTGTTTGTTTGTTTTTAAGTTAGTCATAACAAGCAAAATACTATCAAGTCAATTCTTTTTAATAGACCTTTTTTTCTTTCATTTTAAGAGTTGAAAACCACTACTTCTCTGTTTCTCAACTAAAATCCTGTTTGCCAGTTGTAGCCTACAAAGAATTAAACAATTTCCAAAATTGGTAAAATGTAGCAGAAAAATAGGACAAGAATGTCTAGGAAAAACAATGCAGATGTTCAGATGTTTCTAAGGCAGCAAGACTTACAATCAAACACTGCATCTTTACTGCACCTGAACTTTCCCACGCATCCATGCACCAGATGCTCAATAAAACATGAGGACGGGAGATGCTCATTGGAAACTGGAGCCTTCTCTAACACTTCAGAAGCCAGCAAGGAGAAAGGTATACATGAAAGTTTTATACATACTGAATGGGCCTTAAATCCCAGAGGGGAAGCTGATCTCAAAACAGCCTATGAGGAAATGACATCAGATATATGCCCGAAAGCCAAAATTACCTGATGGAGATATCCCTGACAGCAAAAATGTCTGAAAGGCTGCACTGAAAATTCAGAAGCACATTTACAGACTCATACCCTACCAAGTGTCATCACTGAGCTTCCGACCTCAAACACAGCAACCAAAATAACAGTTTCTAAATGCCACAAGATAAACCTCTAGCTGCCAACATTTAGAAACACACTGCCCTGTTTTGGGGAGACTGTTTTATTTTGTTTGCTTTTGTTAATAGCCAAAGTCACTTTGGATACCGTAAAGATATTCTTCAGGCATTTGCTGAAATATTTTATTCTGCTAGCATTCTGAGACTGTTGATGATTTTTTTAATGATGAAATTACCATTTTCCTATGTGTACACAATAAACATTACTGAATTTTTACAAAGCTATTCCATTTGACAGAATTCTAGCTGCATGACATTAGATAAATAAAGTCAGTCCTCTTCTTCCCTGGAAAGTCTAAATCACTGAAACAAAAAGGACTGTTCACTCAGGAAATGTGTACAGAGACAACAAAATTAAGCAATACAAAATACATACTATATATATAAAATAAATACAACTAAAAGCTCAGCTTCCGTCTATACCAAAACCTCAGGAAGCTAATAATGCCATTCTATAAAGGCAGCAGAACAGCAAAATGCCACTCTTCCCATCCTTCCTCTGCCTCATAGTGATACTACTGAAGCGCGTATATGTATAAACCTACACTAAATGGTACAACAAACAGGGAAATCTACAACTTCAGAAAATTGCTTATAAATGTCGGTGCTAGAAAATTTATTGCCTTACTGGTATCTTACAACTGTTCAGTTTAAACTTGAATAAATGCAAGGAAGCAACAATCTTTGGGAGAAATAATCAACTCCACTGAGAAAAATAAATAATCATGTGAAACAGTCGGATTATAATAAAATCTGGAAACACTCACATCAAACAAACTCATTACAAGTACTGCACTGGAGAGTCATATTGTCCCTTTACCACTAATTCCAAGCATCTGCTGCTCTGAATAGGGTGAATAGCTCTTAAAATACACTGCCTTCAGGAGTTGAGTTCATACACTTAAGTTTGAGAGGTTCAACCTTACTGTTATTTCAAAAGACTGCAACAAAACCCCGGTTTAAACTTCAACCCTAATCTTGCCCTCTAGAGTCCTCTCCTCTCAAATCCTTCTCTCTCCAGCGTGCCTGCCACGTCAGCAGCTTTCTCTATGGGAGACCCTGTTGCACAGACTGCCACAGCGATTCGGATCTAGAACAAATCTGTCATTAGGGAGAAAAAAGGATTTAATTTTTAGGTAGTAGCTAAAGTGTCAGATTCAAAAATTCTGCCTTCCTAACCTACAGTCCGCTGTTTCAACCAAAATTTCACAAGCAACCTGAGAAATTCTTGTACAAGTTTCACCTGCGATTCTGTAAAGCATAATATAGGTACTAATGCAGGGGAAGCTTGCCAGTTGAAGCATTTGACAAAACAAAAATGGAAAAGAAGTCAGAGGCAATTTTTTGCAGTCTCTTTTAACTAAAACCAGTCTAGTCTGTCTTTAAATGAAACCCTTAAAAAGAGGGCTCCTATACAGAATTAATTTTTAAACAAATTAAAATAGCAATATCTAAGGTTTACAGAAAAAAAAAAGTGTTACAAGAATACATAAAGATCACTAAAGAATTGAAAATCTACGTGGTAAGATTTCATTCTGGCGTCATCCAGATAGTGACATCAGGTAAACTGCAGTGGCTTAACCTGAATGCCAAAAATACTAGCCAAATCAAGCAAAACAAACCACATGGAGTTGAATAAGCAAAAGAATAAGGAAAAATATCTCCAGGCACAAAGTTTTTTTTGTTTGTTTTGTTTTTTGTTTTTATACAATATAAAAATAAATACTAAATAATTTTCTGTCTTCCCAGAATTCTTCTAGTAAGTTCATATGCTACAGCTAAATACTATTGTGCACATGAAGTATATGTTCTTTATATAGAGTTCCATTCTATTTAAATTCATGCCCATTTTAACAACTCATTGCCAGATTTTACTGTATCAGGCAGATTGTTACCCATTTAGTAGCCGCAAACTAACATGTCATTGTTTTGATACTACTTGCCAATGACAAATTGACTAAAAATATACTGTGGAATCTGTCCCATTTTGTAAATCCCGGTAAATATGCTTCTATTTAAGTGTTGTCAAATATTCCTCCTTCAAGATAAAGTTAATGGTCCACAAGGTTTTTAATGCAAGTTTTTCTCATATCTATGCCACCAATTACGTGCGCTCGTAGTTTCCATTTATACTAGCAGCTGAGAGGAACATCCCACCTCTACAGAAAGAGCAATTTTTGCACAACAGTAAAATTTACATACTGGTTATTAGCTTGAAAACAGAAATCCATGGAGCAGTCCTTATCCAACTTTCTCTGCAAATGAATTCTTGAAAGGCTAACACTTCTTTTAATAATACATAAAAGTGTAGAGGAATTTCTACTTAGAGATATTTCAGCTCAATACCATCATGGTATTCATCA